GCATAAATTACTGGGGAAATGTTCATGTTCTGGTCTAATTAGAAACGATCGGGATACTGGCCCAATTGACTTCATCCTGTTCTGTCTTGCAGCCCTGGGAACCACAACAAATACACTTAGATTTCCATCATCATATTCATTGCGGTGATTCATGGGGTAAGTCTCTCTCTCTCTCTGTCTCTCTGTCTCTGTCTCTCTGTCTCTCTCTCTCTCTCTCTCTCTCTCTCTCTCTCTATTACACAATGATTTGTAAACACAATTACTTGTTTAAAAATTTTATGTATTAGTGTTTCTTGCTCATAAAATATATCTTTGTAACAAATTATCCTTTGCTATCAACAGGAAGCGTTTGAGTCATTACAGAGTATTTCATGTTATAGGTGACAAATTGGTGCTTGCGACGGATGCAGGAACAGTGGTGCTAGAAGGTAATATTTTTACAATTATGAGATGACCAGAGCGAATTTTTATTGATTGATGTTGTTTTGTGTTATATCTTAAAAGTGCGTATGCGTAAACGGTGCACTGTTTAATATGACTTATGCACTACACTCCAAGTCTGTTATACTAACAACTTAAGTCATCATGAAATTATAATTTACCCGGTAAATGCATGCATTTTTATTCGAATTTAGTATGTGTTTTGACTCTACCGATAAAATCTTCTTTTTTGTGTAAAAAGACACGTCACGACCATTCATATATTTCTTGATGAGGCGTTCGGCAAAGCCTGCACTAGATCAGCTGGAGCGGATAATAAGCAAGAAAGATTGATTGCAAACGATGGTAACAGAAGAAACAGCTTAATTCGGCATATCTGTTATATTGTATCTTGAGGATTATTCACATATCTATTGAAACGTGTTTTGGGGTGTTGATTGTTCTTGTTTTAACTATATAGTGTTAGACATTAATGTATTAACGCTGATGTACTTGTATCAATAAGTGGAAGCCCTTCTTTCAGAGGGTCTGCCGCCCAGGACAATATTTGACAGGACAGTGCTAGTCAAACAACTGACTATTGTAGAAGCACATGGTCTCCTTGTGCTGAGAAGTGAAAAAGGTATTGTAACAATTTTTAATCAATAAACAAATTCTCTAATCGTGCTCAGATTTCACATGTTGGTTCCCCATGCTCCTTAGTTATGTACATTGTATTTTGTGACTGTTTAAAAAACGAGTTGGCCGATATGCAGCCATATTGAATTTCGAGAGTTAGTGTTTGTTAGCTTTATTTCACAGAAAATACTGGATTTCTCTTATTTCATATGTAGGTTCCGATACCTTGTTGTTATACTTAATTTTGGGACCGATCTAAAAACTCGAATGGCCTACAGGAAGCCTTCTTGGATTTTGCGAGAGTTTGTTAGCGCGTTTGCTCAGAATGTACAGGAGGGATTTTTTTCTTCTCAAAGTTCGCATGCATGCAGGTTGCCCGTGGTCATTGTGCACGCTTTATTTTGAGACTGATGCGGTAAAGATGGGGGCCACCAAAAAGCCGTCTTCAATGAGTGTGAGCTATCCATTGTTGATATCACTCTTTCTCACAAAGTATTGGACAGGTCTTTATCAAGTTACATACGTTGATTTCCATTGGTCTGTGATTGTGAATGTTTAAGTTTTTAATCTGGTAGTAACATCAAATTGGTCTCCAGATTCATTTTTTGGATTTTGACGGTTCCAGTTTGTTATCACTAGTTCCCAAGAAGTACTAGACAGATCTTGATCAAATTACACAGTAAGTACTATGCTAGTAGACGGAGGCACGTTAGTCTAGTGGTAGAACGCCGGGCTCGTGACCGAAGGGTTGCGGGTTCGAGTCACGGCATGGCACTGTGTTGTATCTTTGAGCAAGATACTTTACTCAGCTTGTTCCAGTCTACTCAGCTGTAAATGAGTAGTGGTTGGGCACTGCTAGAATTGTTGAATGCTAGTTGTTAGCGCCTCAATGGCAGCTCCGGCTGTATGCTCCACATGGAGTAGAGAAAGGTATTGGCTGGTTGCAAAGGCCCTATAACCACGGATAATAATTTGTGAACCGCTTTGAGACGACCTACGAAATAGGTTGTGATAAAGCGGTATATAAGAACATCGAATTATTATTATTATTAAAACGACAACTTTACTTTATAAGATCAATTTCATACATAACAGTATTGCGTTTGATCAAAAGCTACCACAAGGTGCATTTATTATTTACATGACGCAATCCAACATAAAAGAAAGAGAAGAGAAAACTTATACATACATTGATTCCAGGAAGATGGTACGATAGATGGCCATCTGGGATCTCTTATTTTATCACCTTTCACTTATCCATATCATCAGATTGGGGCATGCAAGTTATCATTGTAGTTGTTTTTATTACGCTTAACATTGTCTGCAGGTAAAGACAGCAAGGTCCATGTGTTTCGACTCCTAGATTTTGAAGGTGAATACAATGAACATACCGTTCGAACCAGGTTGGACTGCCGGGATCACAGACTCGACAAAACCAAGGGTACATAGCCAGCAGTTTTTTATGACACGCTTACATATCTCGACAAATGAAAACAAATAGTGTTGTGTTCCTGTTACAATAATACAGAACATAGTTAAGCAGCTTTAACAAGAATATACTTCAAATTAGGAACCATCATGAATATCCGGAACCTAATGAAGTAAAAGAACAATAGGTTTCTTGTTTTCGCACTTACTAAAAAATGTACATCAACATCAAAGTAAATAAACCTACAGCTAGCATTACTTTACGACGATCATATACGTTTCTTAACAACGACTCGTTTGTGCTACGAATGGTACAGGACACTACACAAAGCATTCTTGCTATAAATGTAATGTGACATTAGACATTACCTATCCCTTACTATGAATGTCATATGACACTAGACAACAACTTCTAAATAGTTTTTTGTATCATGTGACACTAGACATTACATTTCTCTTACTATAAATGTCAGGTGACACTGGACAACGACTTCTTTATATCTCTGTGTATCACATGACACTCGACATTAATTTTTTTTTTGCTATAAACGTCATGAGACAAAAGACAACAAATTCTGTATAACTCTGTGTGTCACGTGACCCTAGACATTAAACATCTTTTAAACAGACGTTACCTCTCTCTTCTTACTATAAATGTCCTGTGATTCTAGACAACGCATCTCCCGTGCTATGACGTTCTATTACACAAACCTACACCTGTATCATTTTACCCCATTTCGGGTGAATACAGGATCCCCCGTGCTATGACGTTCTATTACACAAACCTACACATGTATTATTTTTTCGGGTGGATACAGGTTGTCACCTCTACGCCTTAAGCAGACCTGGAACTAGCCATCTCCGTATGGTTGTAGCAGTTCAGAGACGTTTACTATTGTTCACATGGAAGCACTCCGCTGCTTGGTCTGCGTGGTGTCCGACGGTGGACTTCGAAATCGCAGATGGGTTCAGCTTTGTACGGGTATGTATTATTCTGTTATAGAAACAGCTTACGGATTTAGAGCTTAAGGGTATTATGTTGTTATGGTGATAACATACGGAATCCGATTTCTGCGTGTATGCAGTAGGGTGTTATACAGATTTTATATAGAGTTACACTGGCGTTATATTGCTATTGGGAAAGCTTATCGATTAAAACAGATAGGAAGTATCGTGTTACCAAGAGAACGTATTGAATCGGCATTTTACGGGTACATTTATGTTTATCGCAATTTAAACTCAAAATTGATACATCAGGACAAAATATGCAAGAAGGAAACATTTAAATGGAAACTCTTGAAAAAGAACGAAAGAAAAGAAAATCATGTGACTCTGAAGGGTAACTGTCCTCTGCTTTATCGGCGGAATGTCACATAGCGAGGATAGGTATGGTAACAACCAAACAACAAGGGATACTAACGAGCATAATTCAAACCATCGACCTTGATATCACATAAAACTGTTGTTTTCTACTATTGGTCCCATTGCTCCCGTAACATATTTATTAGTTCTCCTACACAGGAACTTCACACGGATGAGCCGCCACTATTGGTCACACTGATAGATGGAAATAAAGAAGACAACCAGATATGTGTGGGATATAAAAATCAATTCGACCTGATAAATGAAAAAAATGGTGATACCCTGCAGTTGTACCATGTCGAAGCTAACAAGGTAATCCACCAAGTTCTTATGTAAAAGACGGTTTAACGTCGGAATTGCCTCATGTTACTGCATTAGCGTTTCAATTTGATTGATGGTATGTCTATCATTGTCAGAGTTTGAAATCAATTCATACACATGTACACGCTCAAACAGAAAATCCTTATAGTTGCATCATGTTATATCTAAAGTTAGGTGACGGAATCATAACCAATAGTCATTTACTCACAACAGAACTGAAACAACCAAAGTGTTGATAAAGGAAATGGTATACACTTACAAGGTTTTCGGTCAGTGTACACATATCTGTAGCTTTCTTGTTTTATGGCACAAATACCTGTATCTCTGTTGTTTTATGGTACATATATCTGTAGCTCTGTTGTTTTATGGTACATATAT